CAAACCGTATTTACAAACTTTGAAAATTAACTAACTATGTATCTCTGTATCATTTATATGTGCTTTTATTCCCACGGGAATGATGAAATAAAGGAAACAAATAGATATATATCAAAATAAGGCAAACTGTTCAGAAGTGTAACATCTATATTAGACATTCTCAACATGCAAATAATTTCTCATAACAATAATATATTTATATACACATATCCTCAAGTTACTTGACCGTCCGATCTACATGCATTATACAAATCAGAATACACTGATGAAGAAATGATCAACGCTATTTATACAATCACAACGATGAGAAACAGAATCTGTTTTAACTATAATTTTGATCAGCAATCGATTGATGTCTAATATTTCAGACAGTAAAAGAATAAATATTCAAATTTTAGCATGATAAAAACTTCAAAATGTCAGGAGTTTGAAGGAAAATTTTGTATAATAATGTAATAGGTAATCAAGTTAATGTTAACCATTCTAAATAAGAGATACATAGTTAGTTAATTTTCAAAGTTTGTAAATACGGTTTGCATTAGTAATAGAGAACTAACTATCGGAAGTTATCATTTACGTTATGTTTATAATCAAGATAAAATTTCTATTTGTACTATATCTGTTTTAGTTCTCAAATAGATTTTCTTCTTATTTGTCTCAAATACTTTACACACGCATATAAACACACACTTGCACTTAAAACCACAAGAAAAGAGAAAGAAAAAAATATATACAAAAAATATCTGAGTATGTATAGTTCTAATAATCAAAATAATAACCTTAAGGTTATATGAGTGATTCGTTTGGTGTTCTCTCTCAAGTAGTACAAATATTCCAACCTGATGTGTGTTCAAAAAGAGAAAAAGAAAGGCAATAATTAGTAGTTTCAAGTTTTTATTTACTATTGCAGATATAAATTCGTCAAGGACGACATTAATAGTGTTACAAGAGAATAGAAAGGGAGTTATTCAAGTGGATTTCAATTAAAAACAGAAAAATATTTTTTAGAAATATACAAATTTATTTCTAAACTACAATATTGAGAGTGATTATGACAGAAAGGTTTCATGATCCTTCTCATATTCTTTTTTTTCGTGATTCATTCCATGGGGAAATTAATCAGTATTGCTTTGATGGGTGTGCGCTCTTTTCATTCTGTTATATTAAAAAGTATTACCACTGGAAAAAAGAAAAGAAAGATTAAGAGACAAAACAGATGGAAAATTAGACATAGGAATTAGAAAATGACTAGAGTTGTTTAATATGATTATAGTTTTGAACAACTTTAGAGTGTTTAATCAATTGTCACTATTATTGTCCAGTACGTAAACGTCTAAATCATTTTCAGGTAATCCAATTGCCAGAAAGTATTCTCTTCATGTATTTGATTTTCCGGTGTTTTTATTATCAGAATGTATATAAAACTCCACTATTATTTTTTGTCTTAAAGAAAAAAACAGAAAATCTTATGTTTTTCTATACACATTTCTTCATCTCGCTATACTAGTTTGTGGATATCTGTTATAATAATAATAATAATCTTGCAAGACCTTGCGCTCTCTCTCTCTCTTTTGTGTCCTTTTATATTACAAAAAAGAAAAAAAAAATACTAGAGAAAGAAGGAAGAGAATACGTTTCTTTCTATGTTCGATTATAATTGCTAAACAGTGTTTTCATTTACAATGACAGAAGAAATTCTACACTAGCATGTTGTTATCTCAATTTTAACTTGAAATTGGTTGAAAAAAAAGAAAACAATTTTCAAAAAACGTCTTATCAATAAGAGTGACAAGTTTTTTGTTCACTAATACTACGTCTTTATCTACTGATTACTCGTCAACAAAGACAACAGTAAGAGATAGAAATTTGTTATTATTTTATCATTCATTATCATTTCATTGTATATATATGTGTCTGGCTTCTAAAGACAAGAAAATATGGCCTCGCGTGTATCTTCTTTTTTTTTATACAACAGTTGCCTCTATTAGAAGTAGTATGTGTCATCTTTCTATACTTTAGGAAATATAAAAAAAACGTCAACAACACTTTTATCATAGAGATGAAATGACCTATAGATTTCCACAACATACAAGGTAATACTAATATGCAAACGACTATTCGAAAATAAAATAAAATGAATAAGAAGATGTTTTACATTATCACGATATAAGCTTATTTGTTGCACATGTCAACATATCATTAAGTAGTATAGTATACTGAAAAAAATTATAGAAATAGCAAAACATATAGAATGAAATAATTCGATATGATTGTCAAAGGGCGTCTAAAAGTGTACAAGACATTTTTAAGTATTTTACATTTAGATTCAAAACTTTATCTCTAAGAAAATAGAATATTTTTTTTTAATTTGTTTTTTAGAACTTGATATATATATATATATATAACGCTTACCAAATTAATTAAATTACTTAATCAAACAAATGACGAAATATAACAACGAAAAATCTCCAATATCGTTTCAAATAAAACAAATATTCATTCCATTTACACCTAATGCTACAAAGCAATTGGATCAAATTGGATCGTCTTCCGTAGTTAAACTAAATGATTCAACTTCTCCATTACTCAACGGCAATTCTGATTATCACCATTCATTAGTATTCAGTGATTCCGATGGTGGTTCTGATAATCAGTCAATGGTGTCAACAACAAGAGACAATGATTGTGTCAAACGTTCAAGTTCTCAAACGCGTAAACGAAAATCACGCAAACATCACTCACCAAAACCATTACTAAATAGTTCAACGTTAGATGATTTATTTCGGGCATTGACCATCGAATGTGAGCAAAGTTTAAGTAAATATTCAACAACATCTTCATTTAATAACAAATTGTATGATGAAGTAGTGAATCCTACATTACCAACAAATACTGTAAGTTATGATGAAAATTACGTTAGGGTCGCTAATCTGTCATCAGTGACGAGTAATAAACCATTGGAAATAAAAACAAAAGTGAGTCCACAGCGTGTGCTTTCCATATCGGTATCATCGTCACATACTCGACCTCAATGCGAATTCGTTGCACCTCCTTCTCGACCTCAATGCGAATTCGTTGCACCTCCTTCTCGACCAAATAGTGAATTAAGTACCGTTCAACCATTGAAAAAATCGTCACTTATTCAACCGACAGATGCATTAAAGAAAAAAGACGAAACGCTTGCCATATCAAAAACGTATCCAATATTAAGTATAACAAATTTTGTGAAAATGTCTAATAATACTGAATTACCAGTATCAACGTCTCATCAGAAGCCCAAAACAGATCCAACAGCATTTTCAAATATTTTATGTACAAACAGTCCATCCAGTGAAGATGATATATCAACATCAACAAACAATACAAATAAAGCACGTCAGAGACGAATACCTCGTTCTCGAAAACAGCGTCGTGTCGTTCATTCAAATGAAAATTCTTTGATATCAAACAATGGTAGTTTAAATACATCAAGTGATTCAGAGAACGAAAAATCAATTCCCCATCATCATCAACCACCCTCTCGCCGATCATCAAGCACAAATAATTATAATTCTAGGCTCAAGAGTCGTTCACAACTTCTACCGCAATCGTTTTCTAATCGTCGGTTGAGTATATACGATAATAATCAATTATACCACAATACACCCGTTCAACGAACTCCTCCGTTACCGAGAAGAAAACGCGATGCATCATTACAATTACAATACACGACCACTTCGTCTCGTTCTCCATATGCTTATAATGATACATCATTACGAGAACACGTGTGTGTACCACTGAGTTTTTTATTGACATCACATATCGAACAATCATCTTCTGCTCACATCAACAATAATAAACATGATTTTGTGGATAAATCTCGGCGTTCAAGAAGAGATCATAGTAGTAAGAAGTTCGAAAATAGTCTGTCAACAGTTAGCATATTAGATAGAATGCATAAAAATTGTTATGGACAACATCCCGAACAATCACCACACTGTTCGAGAAAACATCAAAAATCAAAATTTCCTTTATATGTTGGTAACTAGATGTAAATAAAAAACCTAAGGCACGTAACATGAAATAGTTCAAATTCTAGTTAATAGGTAGGCAATTTTCTATGACTAGAAGTCTTAAAAGTATTTGCTGAATTATGATATCATTATTAATTATACTAAAATTTAGATTGTAAAATCTAATTTGATTGTATGCAAACGATTTTGAAGTTTAGAAATGATAGATCACTGAACATATGAACAAAACAGATTAGAAGAAATTAATATTCAATTTTTAATTGTCGAAATGAGAAAAAGACAACCTTGTAGATGCCATATACTATAGAATTATCTATATAGGTCATCCATGTATTGATTCTTTTTCTTCTAAATTATCTTCGTATATTACGTAATAATACGTTTTTTATCAATTATCTATGCATTTAACACTAAGTATACAAGTAAGGCGATTCTGGATATAGTTATAAATACTGAATAAATCAAAAATAAGGGTAAGTTTACCAGATATAATTGATGAAAATAACAAGCGTTTTTCCCGCAGTATAGACATTCAGCACTCAATTTTTACAGCTTATATTTAGACTTAAAATATGGATAACGCAGATGGTGTGAAAGATTATATTTTTTTAGCAAAGTTGTTTATTTATCCTGTAAAATCTTGGAGTGGTACCTCATTAGATAAATGAAGTATTGATTTACATAAATTGTGTTTATAATTGGATCGTAAATGGACAATAGTAGATAAAAATGGATATGCGCTAATTCTAATAAAATATCCAGAAACGCATGAAATAATACCAGAAATTGATTGACAACACGAAGAACCATCTTAGTAGCAGTGCTCAAAATATGAATAATAACTCATACATCGAGTTAAATCCTATTATATTTATATTTTCATTTTTATATAAATGCTGACGCTTAAAGTGATATTTTTAATCCAGTATCTGATTTCAAATACGTTCGGAAGAAAAGAATGAAAATACAATTGTATTAGCCTGATTTTTAAATACTATATAATGCAAAAGTATCTCTACATGAGTGGTGATAAGTTATAAAATTCACTTATGAATCACCATGTTTATATGAAACCCCTTCTTTCTACCACTGACTACTATGTAAAAAAACACGTATTTTAGAAAACGTTTAACGCGTACTTTCAATGACACTATGATACAGAGCAAACATTTCTGATCAAAATGAGACATCTCCCATCCCCGAATGATGTTCTTGAGTTTTTTTTTAGTTTTTGATGTTTTTTTATTATTTGGGAAGATAAAATATCAAAAATCAGGCTCTATTAGCCTCTAGGCGCACGCATTTTCATCATTTTAAGACCATTCCAAGCTATCCAAGAAGTTTGGTTACCGATAGCAGATGGCATCCCCCAAATTTTACCATAAGTGTACAATCATAAGGTCAGCATTCCTTGAAAGTTTGGCTGAGATCTGACTTATGATTATCAATATGCGTTTCTGACGGGGGGGGGGGGGGGGGTGGGGGCGGTTAATGGCGGTAACCCAAGGGTTTTAAAATTTTACAATGGCCGCCCACAACCCCCAAACCAAAACACCAAGGTTTAACCACC